CCTCTCCTTCACTCCTCGGCCAAAATGTTTTCCACGTGAAGAAAAACGCAAATTCAGCCAGTAATTTAATAGAGGGGCCCGTTTTTAGTTTTGCAAATTCAGCCGTAATTTAATAGAGGGGCCCATTTTTAGTTTTTTTAAATAAAATTTAGGTTTTCTGTTGGAGAGATTATTTTTTTACTTATTATTTTCAGTTTAGGAAACCCAAAACAATTTTTTAGTAGGATATGATACACAATCTCTCGATGATGCTCCAAGTTTATAAAAGTTGGCTTTACTACTAAATAAACTTGCTCTAATAATACTTCCTCCGTCCCAGAAAGCTAGTCATCCCGCTGTTCAGAAAAATGTCCCACAAAATTTGTCGTTGTAGCATCTTGACCAGCGAGCTAAGCCTAGTCTATCCCATCGATTCATTTGAACCTGCTATTTAGTATACTACGGTGCCACTACTAGTACTACCCATGTCTGTGCAATGCGATAGATGGTCTGCTAGAAGTGATTAGTTAATTATCTACAGTACAATCTGAAGTGACAAATGCAATAATTAAATGAGGGTAATTAGGGTTTAGGGTTTAGGGTTTAGGGTAATATGGTCATTTTTACTTGTCGCTAATTTGTTCACTCAACCTTAAAACGACAGCATTTCCAGGAGGAAGAAAGTAATTCTGAGAGGTGTGAAACAACAAGTAAGGCGATTCTGTTGGCAAAGTTGAGGATTTTGAACCCGAGGAAGTTTCCTAGCAGGTTCGGGCTGGCGCCGGACGGGCGGGCGAGCGAGCGAGCGATTGCGGAACGCGGCACTGACATCCCACAGGGCCACAGCCACATAATCCACCCCCGTCACGCCAAGCCACCAACCTGTTCCTTTTGCCGCGCCCACGTTCCCTGGATTTTTCACATTTTGGTCCTTTTAAAAAACTTATTTCGCAAGTAGATCCCTAGAAAAACTTATCCCAAAAATGGTTCTTTTTGGGGCGCCAGAGTGGCTGGCGCCGTCGTTCAACGGGACGGCGCCAGCCTCTTTGGCGCCGTCCCACCGCCGACGTGGCGGGGCGATGCTGAGGTGGCTAGGGGGAGTGCGCCAGAGTGGCTGGCGCCCCCCCCCGAAATTTTTTATTTTTGTTTTATTTGTTTGATATTTTTTGCACGCTTAGGGACACACAAGAACCAACCATAGAAAAATTGAACTCAAATAGACGTAATATGTGACATGTAGAATTTTTCCTCTCCTCTCCTCTCTCCGAACTAGTGCAGAGGAGAGAGATGTGCAACTTTTTTATTTTTATTTATTTTTTTGATATTTTTTTCACACTTAGAAACTCACAGGAACCAACCACGTAAAAAATAAACTCAAACGGACGAAATATGTGGCATGTGGAATTTTCCAAAGCTCCACCGAAAAACTTCTCTCCTCGAAAACACAATCTTGCAAGCGGAATTTGGAGGTTTTAATATCGCCGAACCCGGCAAAGCGGGGGAGAATCGGATGTAACTTTTTCTGTAGATGTCCGTGCATATATTATTTGCCTGATTCCGAGTCCGTATGAGAAAGTTACGCCTATTTTAATAGATGTCATATTTTGTCCGTTTCGGTAGAGTTTTGGAAAATTCTACATGTCACATATTTTGTCCGTTTGAGTTTATTTTTTATACGGTTGGTTCCTATGTTCTCCTAAGTGTGAAAAAAATATCAAAAAAAAAATAAAATAAAAATAAAAAAATTGCATCTATATGTACTGTTTAACTTATATATCTCATTTCATGTGGTTATATTTTGAATTAGATTAAGTAATTTCATATGGTGGTAGAGTGCATTATGTTTAACATGCTGATCAAAGGATTTTACTAAAGGAGCTATGGTTATGGTCTAATTTTAGTGAAGGTGCAAAGTAGACTAAGTGGTATGCTAGATATTTTCAGACTTAGCTAAGTGGTAGTTCGAGTTTAATTTTTTTTTTGGTTGTATCATGATCCTGAGTGTGAAAAAACATCCAAAAAAATAAAATAAAAATGACACCGTTGCAACTCCATACAGAGAAACAGGAATGGAGGCGGCGGCGCCAGCCATGCTGGCGCCCTCCTCCCTGGGGCGGCGCCAGCATGGTATGCTGGCGCCCTCCTCCTGCCACGTCGGTTCGCGTGCACCACGGTGGCAGGAGGACGGCGCCAGAGAGGCTGGATGACGGCGCCAGCCACTCTGGCGCCCCAAAAAGGACCATTTCTGGGATAAGTTTTTTTAGGGGTCTATTTACGAAATAAGTTTTTCAAAAGGATCAAAATGTAAAAAATCCAGCCCACGTTCCTCCCCTCCGTACGCAATTACGTTCCTACACGTACGAACTGCGAGCTCTACACGACCTGGAGTTATCACTGATAAGTGGGTCGATGTGCTGTATCGGACCGACCTGTCAGTGATTTCACCGCGCATTGGTGCAGGTATAACAGAATACTTATTTCAAAGTAACGTACCAGCGTCAAACCAGCCAGTAAGCTAGAAACAGTGAAGAAATTGACTAGAAAAGGTTAACGCAACACAAGAAGCGGCCAAATGCACACAGCTCGCATGGACTTTATACTACAAATTGACTTATCGTTTCAACCGGGGGCCCATTCTGTGTTCCCACCTATATTGCCCTCGATGCGTATATAAAAATGGTCGTTGCCACTGCCAACGGAGCTCGATCTGGAACATATATTGCACACGCTCTGGCACAAAGGCAAATACAGTAGAAAACATATCATCGACGGCCGATCTCGAGCCAAGGCAAATGGATCCCGAGGAGATCGCCTTCGGCGAAGAGCCAGAGCCACCGCACGCCGACGGCCGCGGCGGAGGCGCAGCCACCACTCGCGCCGCGTTCCTGCTGATGGTGTCCGGCGCCACGATGATCATCGCCGCCGTCGGCGCGTCCGCGGGCGCGGGGGACCGGGTGCCATGGCCTCGGCTGCTCGCCGAGCTGCTGATTTGGCTCGTTGGGTGCATCACTCTGTTCGCGCCGTGGCTCTGAGCCTCTCACGCTTTTGCAGAGCTCAGTACGATTAGTACATGTACAACGAATCGTGTCATTTGTGTCGTTGTTACTACACTAGTGCTGTACCAGTATAGTATTCCGTACTTTTATCTTGTAGTCTGGTTTGATTAGTGTCTGCGTCTCATCATATCGAATCGTAGTTTCCCTCTTCTGTTTCTTTTTCAACCATAACGGAGAAATGCTCGCCGGCTAGATGGTGGGCTAAACAATCTAAATTCAAAACCTCGCTCCTTCTAATTATTTGATATTAGATAATTCTCTAATATTTATGTCTTTTTCAACCATACAGTTGCCGTTAGGGTATCTATCATTAATCTATACAGACTCGCTTATGCACATGCCAGATTATCAGTCATGTTTACTTCTTCAAGCTGAAGTGGTGGGAGACTGGAAGTCAAAGTTAAGCAGCTGATGGTGCCGCCTTATCCCCTTTAGATACCAGGAACGACATCAACTAGCTCTTATAGTGAAAATTAAAGTCTGGGGAGGATGATTATATGACCAGAGAAAGACATATAATTAAATGTGACACATTATCGGTTCAAATTCGTAGTATTAATATGTCCTATTTAGTATTATGTTACTATATTTTAGAACAGATGTGATAATATTTAAAAATGTTCTATATTTGAGTATACTAATTGATGGTTTGGTAATATTTCGTGGGACCCAATTATCATGTCTATCGGTTTCACAACCTGTTTATGGGCCTGTTTAGTTCGCGAAAATAAAATTTTTGGATATCACATCGAATGTTTGACTGGATGTCGAAAGGGGTTTTCGGGCACGAATAAAAAAAAACTAATTTCATAACTCGGCTAGAAACAGCGAGACGAATCGTTTGAGACTAATTAATCCGTCATTAGCACATGTAGGTTACTGTAGCACGTATAGTTAATCATAGACTAATTAGGCTAAAAAAATTCATCTCGCGATTTTTCCCCTAATTGTACAAATAGTTTTTGTTTTAATCTATATTTAATGCTCCATGTATATGTCCAAAGATTCGATGTGATGTTTTTGGGAAAAAAATTTAAGGAACTAAACAGGGCCTATATATATATTGTGAGTTTGATTGTGGAGAATAAAGAAAGTACTTTGTGGCCAAGTCATGTTGATGGGTCCATGTCCGTGAAAAGTTTAATTCTAAAAATATGCTTGGGGAAATGATGGATTTGACCAGATCAAGAAAGTTGTTTATCTTCTTTGCCCCAATTAGCCCGAACACAACCAATCCTAAAGCATAAGGCTCTGTTTGGTTTCATGGGCTAATGTTTATCCTTCACCTTTTAGCCTCAAATTAGCCCTCAAGGATCCAAACAGGTGAGCTAATTTTGAGCTAATGTGAATTAGCCTCCCTCAAAACATTAGCCCCTCCAAGAGGTGCTAATGGGGCTAATTTTATGTGGGGACCATCAAAAAGCACCTCTCTCTCTCCTTCTCTCTCCTCTCTTTCTACTCTCTCTCCACCTTTTAGCCTTAAATTAGCCCATGGATCCAAACATACCACCCTAGGCTAATGTTTAGCCTACCAATTCCTGACTAAATATTACCTTTCAAAATTAGCTCTGGGCTAATCTTCCAAGCAGATCCTAAAAGTCTTGGTATTTTCTAGACCCAATTATAGTTTCACGGTGTGACTGTATTTTATTTTGGATTTTGAAAAACAAGAGAGTATTTATGGTCGAATCATACTTTGCCAACTACTACGATGGGTCCATTATTTGCTCTTCTAGAGTAGTTAAAATATCTTTGGATCACCTCGTTTTTTTTTTCTAAAATATGAAATCATCCATTATATTTTAATTAGGAATAAAGTCAACCACGGGAAAAAAAATCACGGAAAAAAATAATCCACAGAGAGAGAGAGCGCGCGCGACGGATATGCAACGAGAATACGAGATGCAAACTTGTCCTTGACAACCGGTATCTGGACCGTTCGATCACAATCGGACGCTCCATATCCTCTTTGACCAGCCTCTCCCTTCTCTCTCACAAATACTCCTTTTCTCCTCATTTCCGTCGCTCTCTAGGCTTCAAGTCCCCAAACCAGGCAGCAAACCTCGCGAGAAAGTAACGAGAACTCGAGAGGCGGAGTTGGAGGCGGCGAGGGAGATGGAGAACGGCGGCGGCGGCGGCGGCGATGGCGGCAAGAGCGACGTCCCGGCGGACGCCAACGAGCGTAAGACTCGATTGCTACCTTTCCCCCCTGTTTCCGTTCGGTTTGGTGTGGGTTTCGATCGCCTTGCAATGGAAAAAGGGATGGGTGTCTGCTATGCGCAACCCTAACGATAAGTGTTTGATTCTGCAGATTGCCCTGGGACGCAGTCGGAGGAGGCGGGGAAGGCGGATGCCTGCGCCGGATGCCCCAACCAGCAGATTTGCGCCACCGCCCCCAAGGGCCCTGATCCTGGTAACTTGACCAATTGTTGTTGTACCGTGTTCTGGCAAAATTTTTCCATGTGATCGTTCTTTCTGGGGTGTGCGATACCTGTTTGCTATTTCCCTGCATATATCATAGTTTAGAGTTAATTTAGTTCGTGCCACATAGCTGCAGTGTTTTCAGTTTGGGCCTCTCTTAAAATTATCAGATTTCGGGTTGTTGTGTCTTGTTTTGTGAATTTTGGGGAAAAGAGATGGATGAATTAAAATTAATAGGCACACAGATACCTATTCCTCGCTGTTGATACATCTTACAAGAGCACTCGTATGAATAAGTTGAGCAGTTGAAGCTGAAGGAAGAAAATTGGGGTTGTTAGTAGTCAACATCCAAAATTTTTCATAGGAGCGGGATGAAAGTATTTATTATGCTCCTCATCTCATTGTATGGTTTTGTTGGGTGTGTGCGATGTGGGTTTGAGGCCCAATGCTCTAATCTACCAGCTCCAAAGCTGGATCATGTTGATTGTGTTCTATGCCTTATGGATAGTTTTTACCTTTGATATTTACCAACCAGCTTTGTTCTGTCAGTTCTGATGTTTTATATTGGGCATGAAGATGCCATATACCACAATGATATGTCTTCAGTGTTTTTTATGTGATTTCATAAATCTATTGTTCTACCTTATTGCATATATAACAGTACAACCAAACACCTTGTAGGTTCTTAGGTAGATAGTTCAGATGGTTAAAAAAACAGAAGCAACGTGAGTGATGGAGGTAGCAAGGCTTGGGGCTGACATTGAAAGCATGATGATCATTAGTTTATTACTACACTGGAGCCAAACCCAATCCCAAACCCATGAAGAAATATGTGGTCCTTACTGATTTTCCAAATCTAATGTACTGTCAGGAAGTACATTTTACTTGTGAGTGTAACATTAAAGAGGGAAAGAAATGGAAGTGCATGATCTGGTGTCCCACCTGAAAGTTGAAACACAGCTGCCTCCTTTTCTAAATAGAATGGCACTCGGAAATACTTAAATGTTTAACATACAAAAAATGGAGTGCATCAAGAATGTTAAAGAAAAAACTTTGTTGGAAACCCAATACGGAGAACACATCTAGTGATATCCACTTATCCATGAAAATATTTCACAGCAGTATTGCCACTTAAAAAAAGGAACTCATGTGATTGAGCACCTAGGAAGACAAGTTCATGTTACAAAAATTGTAGTTGAACAAGTAAATTCTTTCATGAATATAATTGGTGTTTCTTTCCTACGTACTTCTCGCATTCCTAATTTTAGCCATGACCGATTGTTATTCATAGACAATATTAATTACTGCTGCTTTCGTCCACACAGTGAAATAATTATTGATTGTATTGCCTGATTGTGTTTGTAGACTTGGTTGGTATTGTTGAACGGATGGCTACAGTAAAACACAAGATACTGGTTCTGTCTGGGAAAGGAGGTGTAGGGAAGAGTACATTTTCAGCCCAGCTCTCATTTGCCCTTGCTGAAATGGACTGCCAGGTTGGCCTTCTTGATATAGATATATGTGGCCCTAGCATCCCAAAAATGTTAGGCCTTGAAGGTCAGGATATTCATCAAAGCAACCTTGGTTGGTCACCAGTCTATGTGGAGTCCAACCTTGGTGTCATGTCAATTGGTTTCATGCTGCCCAACCCAGATGATGCTGTTATATGGAGAGGACCTCGCAAGAACGGACTCATCAAACAGTTCTTGAAGGATGTCGATTGGGGGGAGATTGACTATCTTGTGGTTGATGCTCCTCCAGGGACATCAGATGAACATATTTCAATCGTTCAGTACCTTCAAGCCACAGGAATTGATGGTGCAATAATCGTGACCACTCCCCAGCAGGTCTCTCTAATCGATGTGCGGAAGGAAATAAATTTCTGCAAGAAGGTTGGTGTGCCGATCTTAGGTGTTGTGGAGAACATGAGTGGCTTGCGGCAGGTTCTCTCAGATTTCAGATTCGTGAAGCAAGGTGAGGGAGGCGAGATGGATGCTACAGAATGGGCGCTGAACTATATCAAGGAGAAAGCTCCTGAGCTTTTGACAATGGTTGCATGCAGCGAGGTGTTTGATAGCAGCAAGGGTGGTGCGGAGAAAATGTGCAACGAAATGGGAGTACCTTTCCTTGGCAAGGTGCCCATGGATCCACAGCTATGCAAGGCGGCTGAGGAAGGGAGGTCATGCTTCGTCGATCAGAAGTGCAGTGCTAGTGCACCAGCTCTTAAAAGCATAGTCAAGAAGCTGATCGAGAATCAAGATTGAGTGAACTTTTTTTAAAAAAAGGATAATTGAAGACTGAGTGAACTAGTGATGATGGTTTCTGGGAAACGGGATGCGGAGATATCGAAGCTCAGTGTAGATATACCTGATACTGTCCCATATGTTTTGAAGTTCAGTTTTGGTTGTGTAGAACTATTCTGCTTGTGGAATCACTGAATCAGTTTTTCAGTCTGATGTGAGGAATGTGCCATAATAAATTGCATGATGCTGCAAGCTCATCCAACCAGTTGTTCTTGATATACATTAGTTGCTTGATTTGCATGTTTCTGTCTTTGCGGGTTGAATATGATTTAACAAAACCGATTGCACATAACGGTAGCGTACTACAGTTTAATACCGCTGCTACTACTGCCTTTGCCCCCCTGTTTATGTGGGCTTTCGGGGCTCGGTTTATCTGGCTTCGGCCTGAGTCTCTGACCCAACAACATCTATAGCCTTTGTCTATTTCCAGATCGGACAAGCTTGGTCCAAAGCATGTCCAGTTGCAGAAAATGGCATGGTGATCTAGATCGCCCTCCTGCTTGGTCTTGTTTCTTATGCTCTCGTATACTTCCTCCGTTTTACAATGTAAATCATTCTAGTATTTCCTATATTTATATTGATGTTAATGAATCTAGACATATAATATCAGTATGAATGTGTAAAATGCTAGAATGATTTATATTGTGAAACGTAGGGAGTAGCAATTTTATTTTTGCTCGTGACAGAATTATAGCCGGATAAACTGTCACACTTTGCTCGTAGTACTAGTTAGCATCAGCTTTGCTCGTACTGTTTTGGCCGGGGACGCTCGGTCTCGGCCAAAACACTGGGCTCTGCTGCTGCTGCTCAGCGCTGCGAGCCTGCGACGCTGCGTCGTAGCCGGATAAACTGTCACACTCACACTGACCAATAAAAAAGCATTTAGATCAAACGCTTTGAGGTAAAAAAATTAAGCCGCGTCAGAGCAAGTTTAATAGTATAGCCCACTACCTGCTCCAATTCATCTATAGCCGATCTAATAGTCAATTCATACAATAGTTGTTTACTATACTATTAATATACGGTCCCACCTGTCATATACACACTGCGTCTTGGAGTCCGTGCTGTAACTGGCTACAGATCTGTAGCCCGCTGCTCTTCTCTCTTATCTTTTATCTCATTAAAATATATTTATAGCTGGCTAATAGCATGCTATTTTACCTGCTCTCATGTGCAGAGAAATCTGATACAGGCAGCCTAACAGTAGCCTACTGCTGAAACGGACAAACAAGTCCGAATAAACAACGAGTGGTCAACATAAATAAACCTGCAGAACGTCATACTCCCACTCCACATAAAGAAGAAAAAAAAAACAAAAAACGAGCCCCGTTACACCACACTACCGCTGATGATTGATGCTGATAGATTAATCCTGAATACCTGATGGCTATGCTTTCAACCTCCGATGAAACGTGCAGCCCTTCAGGGCGGCGCGACAAACAGCGAGAGGCAGCCGACGAGCCAGGCGACGAACGCCGCGAAGAGGCGGGGAAGCGCCACTGGCGGCGCGGCGTACGAGCTGACGATCTCGTACGCCGCGAACAGCATCAGCTGCATCGCGGCGAGGCGCAGCATCGGCCCGCGATGAATCGCGCCGCGGGCGGCGGCGGCGGCGGTGGCAGGGGCCTGGTTCGCCGGCGCCGGCGCCTGCGCCTCCGCCTCCTTGCTGCTGTTGCCAGCGTCGTCCATGGTCACTGGAGCAATCGAATTCGGTGGCGGGTTGGGCCGTACGTGGCAGGTGGACAATGGCGAGAGGTCGAGGGGATGGGACTTTATAGGCCTTGTTTGGAAGCGAATGTTGGAAATTGTACCTTCAATTCCAGTCAACTAGGATACGGGAAGTTGAATTTGTTCCAGCCGACCATGGTGTTCCAGCACCATGGTGTTCCAGCCGACCATGGTGTTCCAGCCGACGATGGATACGCATGTGGATGGTGACAATTTTTAAGACAATTTCCGGTGTTCCGTTACGCCGTGAATGGCAAATCTACGAAGCTTCCTCGAAGTTTCGTGGGCATGCACTTGGGCAATGTCAACAACAACACGGCATGTTAATATGATCTTCAAATTTCCGACCGGTATTGGCAAACGTCGATCAGTCAATGGATGTTCACCTGTGATGCAGAGTGGCGGATCTAGAATTTAGGATATGGGTGGTCCGACCTAAAATTTTTTTTCTAAACACAGTAAACCTAACGATACTAATATATACAATGTAACTATAAGTAATAAAATAGATCAAATTATCAAAAACTTACCATGATATATTAACAAAACATCTTAAAATATATAAAATTAGTAATTAAGTAAAATTTTGATTTAAAGAAGCTTGTACGGCTATGAAAGCTTAAAGAAAATTACCATATTACTTTTTCTTCTTATCGGGTCTACGTCTTCTAATGGCCATGAAAGTGTTCATTATATCCTCTTCATCCACTTTAAAGAAAAAGCGATACGATAACTCCATCTTTCTTCATGATTCAACAATCAACAATCTACAATATAATACTACAATTTAATCTCACAATGCACAAGAGTTTAAGATTTTAAAACTAAAAATTGAAAAAGGTGGACAATTAGAAAACCTAAAACTAAAATTGTTACCTTGTGTTGGCGCGGGCGGCTGATCGGCTCGACGACGGCTCCTCGCGGCGGCGTCCAGCGGCACACGAACTGACGAACACTATTAAACAGACAGCAGACAGCAGGACAGCAGCAGGTCGCCGGTCACGGCGTCGCGCGCGGCGGCGTGGCCGTGGCCGCGTGGGGGCTGCTCGCGTGGTCGCGCCGTCGCGGCGTCGACGCGTCGTCTCTCCTCTCGTCGGCTCGTCGGCGTCGCTAGCCAGGCTAGGGCCTAGGGCAGTTGCTACGGCCTACGGGCTAGGGCGGCGATGAGGAGAGAGACAGAGAGTCGTGATCGCGTCAGAGAGATCGCGTCAGAGAGAGTCGTGATCGCGTCGATCAGATCGATTCCATACGCGTGTGTGGGGTCTCTGGAGCCATCATTAGGGAATAGCGCGTCGGCATTAGGGAATATGGATTATGTCGCTTTCTTTTCTTTCTTTTCAATTGTCGCTATTTTCTTTTTTTTATAATTAATAGGGGGTTCCATCGCCCTTTTTTTGGTGGTCCCGGGACCACCCGGACCACCCTTTGTATCCGCCATTGGTGATGCACGGATACGCGATACTGCTACGACGATATGGATACATTGATATCGTGATATGGGATTTTTTAAAAACATCAATACGTCGATACCCACACATAGGGTGTGTTCGGATACCATTTTTCCCAACTCATCTTTCTCGTTTTCCGCACGTACACTTTTCAAACTGCTAAATAGTGTATTTTTTTAAAAAAAAGTTTCTATAGGAAAGTTGTTTTAGAAAAATCAAATTAATCTATTTTTGAAAAAAAAATTAGCTAATACTTAATTAATCACGCGCTAATAGATCGCTCCATTTTTCGTGCGGAGGGATCCGGTTGGGATCCAGGAATAGCGAACACACCCTTAATTCCTTGTATGATCAACAAGTAACTTAGCTAATCAGTTAATGCACAAAATTCATTCCATGACGCAAAAACCAACAAATCATTCAACGTTCCTTCCATCAAGGTTAAAAAAAAAAGAAAAAAAAGTATATGCATGGATCAAGAATCATTCTTAAGAGTGGACAAAAATACACGCACGAATACTACAATAACACACCTCTCAGTGAATCAACAATGTCAACTTTCTCATTTTCTTTCCACAGCGTGACAAAATCTTGCACACCACACTTGATCATCACTTCTTCTTCTTCTTCTTTTTTTTTTTTTTGGAGCGAGAACTTGATCATCACTTGTCCCGTTAACCGCTTGTTCATTTCAAAAATAACAGACCACTTACCTGAAAGCAGGTATAACATTCTTAATTATTGTTCAAGCCAATCGTCAAGGATAAGATTTTTTTTTTTTTGCCGTTTTACAGCAGGGTCAGTGCGAGTATGTGGCTTGGCCACAATCCATATTAACCTCTTTGAATAGGTGCATATCAATTAGTCCTACCAGATTTTTCTCTACATGGATCAGGTGCAAAGAGCATACAAGAATGAAAGATATCAAAATAATCAAGTGTAGAAATAATCATACGGTGATAGGAATGAAAACATTAATGATTTTTGTTTTCTCCTTTGCTTAGGAAACAGATATTAGAAATCCTTGATACGTCTGACCAATGGTGGTGTAGTTTCATAGCAACAGAGAGTGCATAATCTAACATATTAATAATTATCTTATATCTCCCTGATATATTTTGAAAAAAGAAACTAAGAAACAAGTAAATATTCATATGATTTACATTTTGAAAGAAAATCATGCTGAAATTAGAAGTCACGTAGTTGCAGAGGGGCGACACAATACTGAAAACAGATCGAATGAATATTTGTGCATACCTAGCATTTGTTGGCAACAAACTGCTCCATTAAAGTTGTAATATATAATAGAGTAAAACACACCGGTGGTTCTTGAACTTGTAAGCAGCTTTCATTTAGGTCGACGAACTTACAAAGTATGTATCGAGGTCTCTAAACTTGGTTTATTATATCATCCCGGTCCAAAGTCTCATTTGACCGTGATCTTGCCTACGTGGCATGCCATGTAGACAACGACATGGCACATTATTATTATTTTTTCTTTTTTCTCCCTTCTTCCTCTTTCATTTCTCTCTTCTTCAGCCTCTTCCTTCGACAGCAGCAACGCTACGTGACGACGGCGGCGGTCGGCACGGGGGAGCTCGACGTGGCTCCAGTGGAGGAAGAAGATAAAAGAGGAGGAGGAAAAAGAAAATGGGGAAAAGGAAAAAAAAACACCATGTCATCATCCACGTGGTGTGCCACATAGGCAAGACCACGGTCAAACGACGCTTTGGACCAGAATGATACGATAAACCAAGTTTAGGGACCTCGATGTGCACTTTGCAAGTTTGTGGATCTAAGTGAAACCTCATGACAAGTTTAAGGACCACTAGTGCATTTTACTCTATATAATACTCCGTTCCTAAATATTTGACGCCGTTGATTTTTTTAAACATGTTTGACCGTTCGTCTTATTTTAAAAAAAAAGTAATGATTAATTCTTTTCCTATCATTTGATACATTGTTAAATACTCTCTGTCCCATAAAAACCAACATAGTACTGGATGTAACATATCCTAGTACTACGAATCTAGACATATCTCTGTCCAGATTCGTTGTACTATAATATGTCACATCCAATCCTAGATTTGTTTTTTTGGGACGGAGGGAGTATACTTTTATGTATACATATAGTTTTACATATTTCACAAAAAGTTTATGAATAAGACGAACGGTCAAACATGTTTTAAAAAGTCAACGGCGTCAAATATTTAGGGATGGATGGAGTATTTCATTTAGCAAAGCGAAGAACATGGAAACTGGAAATTTTTCATAATATGAAACTTTGTAGCACTTGCGGTTCACCTTGTTAACTCAGATTAAGCAGGAGACTATACCTTATTAACTTAGTAAACCGAGCATCAAAGAATGCCTTCATCGGCCATTGGACCGTCCTTTTGGGAACTCCAAGAATATAATATTATCCTTCTTCAATTCATATCCATGCAAACACAAAGATCACAATTCTTCAGCTCATTTCCATGCAAATAATAAAGATCTCAATTTTAATGAAATGGTTAAGTGCTTGCTCACCTTGTTCCTCATCTATAGTTAGCCAAAAGACTCGAGGCCCGACGGCCTGACCCATAGCACGGGGTTCTGGTCTAGCCCAAGCATGGCACAGCCTGACCTTTGGGCTGTGCCTAGGCCTCTGCCTCGTCACGATGGGCTGCCCGACCTGGCCCGGTCCAACGATAAGGGAGCCAAAATAGACTTATTACGGACATATAAGGCACAGGGAAAATTATACTTTGACTTCCTCAACTATCGCACGAGTATGATTCATGTCCTCCAACCACAAAACCGGGCATATCGACTCCTCCAGCTATCAAAACCGGTGCAAACAATGCTTCGGGGAGGATCTCGTGCTTCGTGCTTCGGGGAAGAGCTCGTGCTTCGGTTGGCAGCCGCCGCCGCCGCTCCCTACCACCGTCCACACCGCCGCTCCGCCCAAGGTGAAGAGAAAGGCTTGGGGAGAGAGAGAGAGAGAGATAAGGGAGAGAGAGGGAGGGAGCAGGAAGAAGGGAAGGAAAGGGAGGATGACATGTGGGTCCCACAATACTTTATTTGTGTGAATGACATATGGGTTCCACATTTTTTTTATTTTTTATTCTAATGCCATATAGGACAAAGACTTGGTCAAGACCGTCACGTAGGCGTCACGCCAGACAAAACCACCTCCAAAACCATCAAGTGGCATTGTTTGCACCGGTTTTAATACTTGGAGAAGTCGATATACCTGGTTTTGTGGTTAAATGACATGAATCATACTCGGGCGATAGTTGGGGGAGTTAAAGTATACTTTTTCCTAAGGTACGGTCCAAAAGATGAGGAATAGACTTAGTCAAGCCATGTCAAAGATAACCCAAAGAGATGAGGGTGGACAAATAGACTTTTTTTCAAAGAGGAGCTCAGTAAAACAGTCAACCACGTGTAAATCTCTTCACACGATATTTTTTTTTGCGCTGGAGAACGTATATTTTGTGAAAAAAAAATGAGGATTTTTGTGGGTAAAACAGCCAACCACGTATAAATCTCTCCGAGAAAAAGCAAAATTTGCTACGGGACACCAAAAAAATATGTAATTAGCTGTGAGATATCGTAAAACCATGATTTAGCTCTAGGACACTCTAAAAAAGGTGTAATTTGCTAGAGGACATTGAAGCTATTATTTTATTATTTTTAGGTCAAATGGAGAAACAACATAGAAAATACGAGTTTGCCCTTTAGAGCCGAATCGCTCCCCCCATCTAGCACTTGCGGCGACAACGTAGATGGCGCTATGCAGAGGACAGGTCCGTGGCAGAGCACTGGAGACGGCATCATGCGTCGATGTTGAACGACGAGGAGGGATGCGCCCACGCACTGCCATGAGGTACGGCATAGTCCTCGCGAGCTACCCCATGAAAAACCTCCAGAGGAGCGAGCAAGCCTCACCCCACCTCTTCATCGTGTCCATCTCCTCGTCTCCTCTCGTCGCCGGCAGATTCGTTGCCATCCACCACCCGCTGAGCCACCGCCCCCCACTGGATGAGGTGGAGAGGGCGCTTGGGGTGAGCAGACGACCAAAATCTTCGGCCTTTTGCCCCCTCGGCCTTCTGACCCGAGATTGGAAGTTGCGGCGGAACCAGCCATGCAGTGTCTCTCATGCTTGTCGTGCTCCAGCTTAGGCCCCTCTTCCTCCTCTTCAGCCTCATCATGATCAACACCATCCTGATGTGCCCTCCCTCCATCCTGAATTCTCAGCTGGATTGGTGGCAAAATCTGTGTTGTTCTCAATTTATCAATAGGGTGTTTTAGGCGATCATCAGAGATCATGTGAATGCCGCCATCATTGCCCTCGCCACGGTGGTCCTCCATGGAGGACACCGAAACACCGTTGTATTACCTCCGTCCCAAAATAAGTGCAGCCGTGGATATCCGTGCCTAACGTTTGACCGTCCGTCTTATTTGAAAAGTTTATGAAAAATTTAAAAATATTTAGTTACACGTAAAGTATTATTCATGTTTTATCATCTAATAGCAATAAAAATACTAATCATAAAAAAATTTTAAATAAGACGAACGGCCAAACGTTGAACGTGAATAGTGCAAAACTGCACTTATTTTGGGACGGAGGGAGTATGTTGTTGTGTGGGCCATGTGCAACGACGGCTTGTTTCTTTTTCTTTCTCTTTTTTACCTGCAGACAAGATCGAGGAAGGAGAGAGGTCTGAGGGCATTGCCGTCTTCTAAAAAATTCCTCTCTCCATTTGATCCAAGAAATAATAAAATAATGGCTTTA